AGGTGTAAATTTTACAAAGAATTTTATATCATTTGACATCTTTCTTTATATTTAAAGTTTTCTATCAAGAGTGTGTATTAAGTAGAAATAAAGCTAATATATCTGACTTCTGTATCTTCGTGATCACAATTGTATGATTATGTGTATTCTTGCTTCTTTCCTTCCACTTTCTTCTTATATTTCTCCAAATATAAGCAAAAACGCAAACACATTAAAAGTAAATATATAGAGATCTTGCAATCTTCAAGAAAGGTGTTAAGAATGTTTAACTTTTTATAGTTTATATTTTTACAATTTTTATAAGATTACGAATCACTGCTACAAGGACAAAAGCTTCATTTTGGAAAAAATACAGAAATTGTTTAGCAAAATAAACAGGAAATATAATTAAATATATTTAATCAGGTAATGAAAATAATCAAAGTAAACAGTATCTTATAAAAGTCAGCAGTAGGGGTAGAAATTACTATGTTAAGGTAGGCAGAGAATTCCTAAGGCAGCTTAGGGATTACTAAACTCAGAGAGGACATGGCACAGAACACACTCAGTGTCTTTGCAACACTGTCCCCAATCAATAAAATCAGTGTTAATTGTTCCTTGGGCATCTGGATATATAACGATACCTTTTGGAGGTGCTAAGTCAACTTGATTTAAGTTAAATTATGACCAATAAGAGAAACATTCAAACCGTATGTTATATTTTTACAAGAGGTACATACAAATCCATACTGTTGCATAGAATATTTCCTGTCTCAGAGTATTAGTTCAAATTCCTTCAACTAAAAATAAAAGCTATCATTTAAGATGACTGTAGGATGTGATCTGGCATTGGGTCATTCTCTCATTTCACTGGATAATGGACAGGCTAAACCACTTTTCACAGCTGCAACTTTTGCTTTAATCTCTTGAGATCTTTCACAGGATTTTTGAAAAGCAATCATGTTATTAACAAATTGTTCTTCCAAGTGTGCTTTATATATTTTTTTAGCCCTACAAGGGAAAGAAAAAGTAATAGAATTAATACTTTTAAGTTTCTAACATTAATCAGCAGATTCTTAAGGATGATAATTAGATATCTTGACAATAAACATACATAAATGGGAAAAATAACTCTATACAATGTTATTATATCAGCAAATGATATTCCTTTGGGGCTGATATTTATGAGATTTCTATTGACAAGAACTGAGAAATCACATCAACCATGGTTTAGATTCCTAAAGAAACAACTAAAATCACTCTTTCCCAGGATTTGCTTAACTTCTACTTAAAACTAACTAAATCCAAGCTTCTTCTAGGATGCTGTATAGATTGAACTTATTCACCTCAAATTCATATGTTAAAGTCATAGCACCTGTACCTTGGTGATATCACTATATTTGGAGACAGGGACTTTAAAATGTTCTCATGGCTAAGTCAGGTCACATGGGTAGGTCCTAATCCAGTCTGATTAGCATTAAGGTCCTTAGAAGAGGAAGAGACACAGGAATGGTACTATACAGAAGAGCTTAAATAGCCTGCCCGAAGTCACACCTGCAGTAAGGGTGAGGACACAAAGGGAAGCCGGCCATTTGCAAGCCAAAGAGCAAAGACTCAGAGAAACCAGACCTGCTGATATTTTTGGCTCTTAAACTTCCAACCTCCAGCTCCTAGAGAGCAAGGAGAAGGAAAACAAGAAAGGCTCCAGAGTCAAAAGAAGTTTTGCGTTGAATTTCTAAAAATGTTTATTTTCCAGCCAGAATGTGGGAAGAAGAACATTTTATTGAAGCTGTTTTACACAGCACAAATAGCCCAAACAAGGGCAGAGAGGATGGCACAGCTTGGCGTGCCAATCACTGTAACGGTTTGAATTACATCGCTTTGGAAAGGAGAACAGAGGAGCAGATAAGCCTGGAGAAACCAGCTGAGAGCAGATCATGGAGTACTTTATTTACATGTAGTTGTAGTCAGATCTGGGCTTGAGGAACGGAAGAGAGGCTTAGATCAAAAAAGTCTACAACTTACTGACCCTGTGATTTTGGACCAGTTACATACGTTCTATCTTATTTTCTTCATCTTTAAGGAGAAAATTCAATCCATGGGGTTTAACAAAGGACTAAATGAGTTAACACATTTAAATTCTTAGAAAAAATGCCTGACATTTAATCATTTCTTTTACTGGATGGATAATAGAGGCGTTCATCAGAAGAGAAAATGTACAGAGAACCAGCAGGAGGGGAGGAAGATTAGAGTTCTGTTTTGATGATGCTGGGCTTGGAAAGTCCGGCTTCTGTGTGGTGACTCTGTGTAGAGAAACACCAGCCGACAGGAGTGGGAGCAGGTGGTAGAGCCGTTCTGCTTGTGTCTAAAACACAACTATTGACTTTGGACAAGCTACTTAAGCTCTTCTGCATCATTTTCCACATCTTTATAAGAGGACAATCTAATACATAAGGTTTATTAAGTAGTAAATAAACTAATACATTTAAAATTGTTCAAGGAGTGCCTGGCACTTAAAAATTACTCAGTGAAAGTTCATCCCTACAACCGTGAGCTTAGGGAAGCAGTCGTGTGTGGACAGGGAATAGAGGATGAACCATGGAAAAAGGGATTTTGCACATATGATTAAGGATACTAATTAAATCTAATAAGTATATTTAAATAAGCTTTCTAAAAATTTTACACTGAGGGAAAAATGTAATAAGAATTATTTTTTAAAAGAATTGAAGGAAACAAAATGAGGGTAACAGAGGCTGCCTCTGTCAGTATCTTCACAACTTCCAGTTGGCCTACAATTACTTTGGAATAAAAATTTATAAAGAAGTCTAAACTGTAATTGAGTAATATATATACAGCACCATTATCATTTGTATTTATTTGTACCATCATCAAATAGTTGAAAAATAAAATCAAGAAAGCAATTCTATTTACAATATGATCATAAAAGCATAAACTACTTAAACATAAATTTAATAAAAGATACACAAGGCCTATATGTGGGAAATAACAAAAAATTTTTGAAAGAAATTAAATAGCTAAATTAGTGGAGAGTTACATCATGTTCACAGATATGGCAATATTCGTAAGATGTTAGTTCTTCCCTGATGTATCTGTAGATTCAGTGTAATCCCAATTAATAAGCCAACACCCTTTTTGGTAGATATTAACAGTTAAATTCATTGTAAATATATATTAGACTTAATTTAGGCTTATTTTAAATGTATTAAGTTTAAATGTTTTAAATTCATTAAAATTTGAACTCTTAAGGAAATGCAGAAAGTTCTAGAACAACCAAAGCAATCTTGGGAGAAGGAGAATGACCTTGGAATCTCTATTTTGCATCCAACATAACAAAGAACAATAAATGTGTTAAAGGACTTATGTTACTCGACTTTAAGGATAACAAAAATCATAAGCAGAGAGATTATTTGCTGTTAAAAGGAAAATGTAAACCTAATCGCAAGACTACAAACAAGGAAATTAGGATAAATGTACAATATAAAGAATGTTATAGATATGGACACAGAAAGCTGAATGAATTAAAGCTTAGAGGCCCAATGTTTCTTTGGTCTGTTGAGGAGGGGCCTTCAGTGGTGTTTAGATAAAAGCTCCACAGGTGGAGAAGGTATGACAACGTGCTTGTGGTTACTGGGAGAATGAGCTCACAACTGAGGGAGCAGTTAAAGGTGGAGGCGATAAATTAATACTGACAAAAATGTACAGATCTGTGACTTTAGCCATTTTTACCGAAATACAAGAAATCGATATAGATAGCCGGATTGTTCCAAGATAGACTTTGGGGGGTACGGCTTAGTACAGTGGAAACAATGGGAGGAAAAGACTTTAGAGACATTGAACAGAAATGGAAAAAAGTACAATTGGATTTAAAGACCTGGAGCCTACTCTAGAAATTAAAAGAAAGATGTATAAAGGTGTTTATGTGAGCAACGGACATCATTTAAATATATGATGAAAGCAAA